CTCTGAGGATCCCCTGTCACACAATAAGATCCTGCTCAGCGATGGAGCTCTATCCAAGAAGCTCGCGGCGCAGAAGTCGAGCGTGCCGTAGCCGAGAAGTTCGACCAGCCGGGCTTGGCCAAGGAAGTTGAGTCGAAAATATTTTGAGACTTTCGCGCGTAAACTTCACTCGTGCGCGCTGGACCACTACAGGACAATCCGGGGGTCCAGACGAGCACCGCAAGCGTAGAGATGGCCGCGAGAGCTCTCGATTTCGGCCCTATTCTGCGAGAAATCCGACTGCAAGAACGTGTTTGGACGCAGGGGAAGTTTGAAATGCCCGAGACGAATCCGAAGTCGGATGAGGACCTCGTAGAATAGAATAGGGCCCGGGTTTGACTAGCGCCCCGCATTGCTAAAGCCCACCACTAACATATCCCGCCGGCGGGATATGTTTAAAAGCCGCTTCAACTTGGACTTCAATTGCATTTCAAGCTCCTTCAAAATGCCCTTCAAGCTTCCAGAAAGGCCAAATTTAAAATGTCATTAATTGCCCGCTCAAAAGACTCCTCGTAGCTTGCGCGCTTGCGGTTTGGTGCCTAGGGACAAATCCCGCTACAGGCCCCCAAACTTGATTCATACCGTCCTCGGTATAGCAATTCTATATACTATTTTGCAGTTCGTCGCGGTGCACACGTCCGAGCAGCAACATAAGACTTTTAATGAGTGGTTTAAAGCGAGCGCAGCGAGCAACCTCAATAAAAAGAGTGGCCGATAGCTCGCGAAGGAGCTTGCGGAGGCCTTTGCGGGCCGTAGGCCGGCTTGTCTTTAGAAGTTAGAAGATAGAAGTCCGGCTATCCTCCGGCTCTTAACGCGAGGGGCTCTTGATGCGGCATTCATTCTAAAACCGTTATAGACGCGCAGCGGCGCCAGGGGGGGTGCAGGGATCACAAAAAGACCGGACAGCGACCCGCGACACGGACAGCCTGCCGTACATTTGCAGACTGATGACGCCACGAGGCTAAGGTATCGTCTCAAGTTACTCACGTCGTCGCCCTGACGATTCGCTCCAAAATGTTGCCAGCAATGCCCCGTCTCTTGATGAAAGCGACCATCACAAAGCAGTCATTTGAAG